ACGCACGCACGCACGCACGCACGCACGCACGCACACACCCACACACACATGTAACGGAGCGGGCTTTAGGCCTTGCAGATCGCGCTTATTAATTACTGTTAGTTAGGCGTGACGCCGTGGGAGTGGCGTTGGCGTTGGCGTTGGCGTCACACACACACACGCGAGTGCGCGCAGACACACTCATTCACATGTAAGCTGGTTCGAACTTTGATCTTATATGTTTGTATTATCTGATAATTATGTGGGTGTATCAAGACTCTCTGCTCAGACATTAAGTGAATGCATGGTTGGAAAGCTAAGAAAGCCTCACCAATAGATTAAAGTCCAATGCAATGATGTGCAGTAGAGTACAGGTGGTATGGATGGTACGGTACGGCATAGTATAATACAGTACAGTGCAGTACAGTACAGTACTGTATACCATGCACTCAGAACAGATGAGTGACATTGTGAATTGCAAATAATGTCTAATGGAAATTACAACGGAATAATTTGCTTAGCCGCTAGTGTAAACCTGTGAAACCCATAAGGCTATAATTACGCAACTGGTATAATTTCAGAAGGGGCTTACAATAAGTATGCATGAGCAGAGATCAAGCAGAAATGCTCGTACGCACAACATACACACGCACACGTGTTGAAAATCCCTCTCGAAGAAACCCACATCAGGGTGGGACAAGTTATGGATCATTTAGATCAACTTCACCCCTAGATTGAAATAGCTATGCCTCGACATTGCACGGCTAGACTGCGGCATTCCGCGTGTCAACCCGTGGCAGTTGTTTGAAGTTGCAACTCACCTTCGTTGTCGCGTTTTTCTTCCCCGGCTCCTCCCTGGAACAGCAATAAACACGTCAGATAAGATAACTGTAAAATAATCGGTCGAACGATGCAGCCGCAGACACACGCCCCCTCAAACACGCGCTCCGTATGAAAAACTGCGTAGTTCAGAAGCTAGCAAAGGACGGACCACTTCTGTTATCTGACCTGCAGTGCCCTAGCTGCCACCCCTATCGGTCGTTATGCTTCTCACCTGTGCTCTTCTTTGCTCCCTAGCTATGTAGCACCGCGCTACCGTTTGCAGTCTGGCAAGCTATAATTTATAGAGCCTGTTATATCTGTGTAAATCCTCGCATGTGCACCTGCCCCACCCCTCCCCTATCTTTCCTACCGCCCCCATCTTACCCCAATACTCTCCCATGCATCCTACCGGCGTCGGCTTACAGAGGATTCTACACGGGTATTTACAAAAACTTGGAAGGGAGAACAGGAAGTAAATATCAGAGATTGCTTGTAACAGCTGATAGCCCAGCCGAACTTTGTGCCCACAAGCTTCTTACTTGCACCGCTAGTCTTTGTAACTTGTTTTTATAGACATCAGTTTTAATTCTCCCAACACCACCACGTCCATAGAGCATGAGCCTTTGCTGTCCAAAGACTTGCATTCGGACGCTAAAAGCAAAGCTCGCATCTCGCTCTTCTTCATTCAACCCCCCCCCCCCCCGACCACCACCTCCGTATTCTTCTGCTGGTATGGCCAAGACCCCCATTACGAGATAAAGACGGGTTAATTACTAACCAAGCACGAACTAAGCTGCATCAACAGCTGTCTAAAAACGTCACTCTATGAAAGCCTCGTAAACCCGCGCACCCGATTCGTATGTGCGATATTAACTCTTTGATCTCAGTGACGTGAAGCGCGCGCGGCCTACGTGCGCTGATCGCATCTCACGCCGCGCGCAGCGCCACCTACTTGCGGTACGATGTACTAACTCACTGTCGTGGGTTTACCGAGCACGATTCGCGCCACAAATTCTCGGCTGCACTGCACGCGGCACGCGGCCAGTGGACTAAGAGGCTAAAATGCCCTTCGCATCTTATTTCGGGAAAACGAGGGCGGCAGGCGTCATTAATACCGACGAATTTCGATTCGCTTAATCTATACATCTCACGCAAGCCGATCGTGAAAACACAGGAAATGATCGAATTACGTGAGCATAACAAATTAATTTCATATTTATCAAGCTGGTTCCACCGTATTGAGTTTCGTTAAAAATATACCCGCGTTCCATTTTCATTAACTTATTACGATCTGTGCAATAATTTCACACTACTCAAAGTCATGGTATGTGAATTGGCATGCAAATCCTGCATTTATAAACCAAATCTTAAACAACACGAGCTATATTGTGTAAAAACAGACTGATGAGTACGTTTCCGGTTAAATATGTGCGGAAAAGTATTAAGAGCGTTATTATTATTTTGTTATAGAAAACTGACACTGTTTACCGCCTACGCAGTTGCCTAGTGCATGCATGCATGATTAAGAACGTATATAATTATATATAGTTGAGAAATTTGGATTGATGCTCACCAGTGATGAATGGATCGCGGATTCCGGCGGATAGATGATGAAATGACGCAGCGTGAATCCAAAGCCTTCTGCTGTGCGGCCCACCTTCACGACGCGTGGGCGTGGCCACTGTGCTGTTGCGTCCATCCCTCCGTCATCCATGCTCACCTGATGAAAGCGAGTGACCGCGAATAAACACACGATGACTATTGAACACGATATAGAAAACAACAATTAACTTCGATATCAATTCTCATAAACGTTTTAATCTGTTGTTGGCAATTCATTTTAATGCTGTTTTATGTAAATAAAAAAAGCGCAAATTTTATACACAAATAGCAAACAAAATCGGTCCAGTTTACCGGGTAATTACTGCATTCAGTTACCCCAGAAATATGGTCATTCCTTCCATTCATACAAAACCTGCACATCATGCCAAGCACGGATGAGCGCACATGATGTAGACTATACTGAAACCATTGACGAATACCTCGCAGATTCATACCAAGCAATTACAGACAATGTTTAGATGTTCATGAATGATTTAAACACGAGTGAAACACAGAAGACTCGATTTTGTCAGGTAACCACAGGAATAATATTACAGCCAACGTTTCCCAAGACCTGCTCATCAGATCACCACCAGGTAAACGCACAGCCAAAAAACTTTGCCAAAAAAATACACGTGACTATTCTGCGACGCCTCACAGGGCAGCAGTGGTACATAAGCGAATTTCCCAAATCTCACCGCGCTTTCTTTCGGTCTATTTTGCAATGGCGTAGAGATTAAAATCACACATTTCTACGGAAAAACATCATCGCGAACACTCAGCTCAGTTTACGGCGCTCGCTCGTTAATTCAAGCGCACAAAAATGTCAACGAACCACGTTGAATCGTGGCTCACCTTTCACGCATGAAAGACAGAACTTCAATTGCACGCAATTACGCGAGCCGACAAACTGGTGAATTATCTTTTCGAGGATAGATAAGCAAGCGTGTGACCTAAACACTGCATCGCTTATGCGTGCAGCTCACGCTGATACATCCAAACCAATCCGTTGCGGTGTTGGCACGTGGTAGCGCGAGCTGGTCTACAGGTGAATGACACATACCGGGCTTTCATTCGACCTGCATTCGACCGGCTGGCAAATCTATACAAAATCGTCGCGTTAATACAAATTTTCTCCATATAGAGGCAAGAATATCCCTCCATGAGGTGTCAGCAGACAAATGATTGACGTGAAGTCGAGTGCCTCGTTACATGCAGCCAGCGTTTGTGATAATAAAGGTGCAGAGAAATCACGGTTGACAGAAGCTCGATTCATGCCGCCCAAAATACAGAAATACAGGTGTATATCGACCTGCAAGACATGCACTGCGTCTAATTATACATACATCATTGGCAACCGCCCTCCCTACAATCTCTTTACATTCATACAAGAGAGCAGTCATGATAGCGTCTCAACAACCCGAGGCAGATATTTGATACCGGTTTGCTGGGAATTTCAAGGTGCTGAAATTCGTTATCGTATACTTTGCAAGGTTGCACACATTTACGCATGAATTTATTTATTATAATACATTTACATCTGACCCCATACGACTTACAAGTAAAATTACTATGCTCGATGAACCGTTACATACTTTAAAGTTTTATATGCTTACATTTGATGTCAGCTTGGTAACAGCTCTTACATTACCGTGTAAACGTCTCGAATATATATTGGAACAGCTACCTTTTAAAATAATACTTGGCTTTAGGAGTTTTGGAAATTGAGGTAGCACACTAGGAGAATCTATATTAGCGTTTGGTTATTTGTCACCGAATTTTGCAAATCTTAATATTAAGCTTGGATTATATTGTCTTCTATTGATTTATTTTCAGAATTAGCGTAGCGTAGCCATTTGCCCTCCCCCGCCCCCAATACACGCTGTATACATAGACATAATGGGAGGAGTGTCGCGATGAATGCGCGGATTTAGTTAGCAGGAGGTAATAAGGTTGACACATTGGTTTGCAATCGACCTAAGCATGTACATAACGCGGAGAAACATTAACAGAGAAAGACAGCTGCAACTAGTGCCCCCCCCCAAACTCAGCACAGTGTCAATGTTATCTGCAAATACAGAATTCACTAGCTATGTTGTCAAACAATAAAACAGTTTAACTGCTAGTATAACTACAGACATCATCAATGACTATCGCTTGTACTCTAGCTTATCCATGATTTAATAAAAAAGGGCAATTACCAAATTATCACGGCATACATTTTCATGGCAACACAATTTTGAAATAATGTCCTCCAACTTTAATAACGTATGAGACAATGCATGAAGTATACAAAAAGGTCCATTAACGAAAACCGGGTCAGTATACATCGACTGTTGATAAAATCATGTCGAAATCGTTAGCAATGCCATAGGTACCGAGCGCACGTGCATTTTAAAACGGACAAAAACTAGATAGCAGAAAAATTCATAATAGCTAAAGCTATCGAATTATTTTCCTTGAGGCGTACACACGATAAATTTAGCAAAGTGACATCAAACCAACGTAACTGCCCATCCAAGGCCCGCATGAAATCACGAAGGCCAGTTTTCTGAGCATCAGATACACGCTCCAAACTGACACCAGTGACCCACATGTAAAATTTCAATGCTAAGCGGCAGGGACACGCATAGAGATGGATACAATGCCACAGATGACGACAACATTCTCAGGCAGTTGCTAATTCGTTAAAAAAGCAAGACGCGACTGTATCTTCCATACGGCATAGTGCGGGAGGGAGCCATCGCGTGTCCACTCTAGCTTCCTTTGGCGATCTCGCCCCCCCCCCAATTCTACTCGCTTTGGTGAGACTTATAGGTCATCCGCTCGTAGGCTGCGTGTCACTGTCACCGCTCACAGCTATTCTCGAAAATAGCTCCGAGTCTAACACGCCATTATTTGGCTCACTGAGTATGGAGGTAGAACACACCAACTGTTTGCCTTCCCTTTGCGTCGGAGCGAAACGCAGGATATGCGGCGGAGCATAATTATTGCGGCGGCAAACTCCGGCAGCCAACTCGATCATCTGCTCGGCTGTGTCTGCATGCCCGATAGATGAACGAGTGCGGTGATACGCACTGGCAGCCAAGTTTACGCACATCGTCATGCGGAGCGGAAAACCCTGCTTGCACGCACGTAACCTAGCTGTCACAACGCAACCATATGATGATATCATCGACTAAATATCGGTTGATCATTGGTGATCATTAGACCTTAAAATCTTAGTGAAATTCAAAGACATTACAAAGTCCAATCCACGAAATTTCTTTTCTTTTATATTATATATGAATCTCATACAAAACATTAAACCTCGGTGAATGCATGTGTAGCTGTGATGCAGTGACAAGAAAACACTGAAAATCTGTCAGACAAGCCTATTCATTGGTGAAACTGAACGCGGTTACTTTCCAGGAGAAAGAAACCTAATCATTGGTAAATTTAGGAAACGACAAGAATTCAGAAAAATAGTCATTATATTACTTTTAGCGATGAATGCAACGCATTAATATAAACATATGACAGCTCCTGATAGCGCACTTTTATGCTGTCATGTGTGTGCGTGTGTGTGCGTGTGTGTGCGTGTGTGTGTGTGTGCGCGTGTGCGCGTGTGTGCGTGTGTGCGTGCGTGCGTGCGTGCGTGCGTGCGTGCGTGCGTGCGTACTTGCGTGTATGTGTGTACGCACGCGCGTGTGGAACTGTGCGTATGTTTTGTGTGTGTGTGTGCGTGTGGAACTGTGCGTATGTTTTGTGTGTATACGCGTGTATTGGCCGTGGTCTCCGATCAATGCCTTCCATTATACTCACCATCGAGCGAACCATCAGCCAGCGACAAGCAACAAGTGAAAAAACTACAGCGTGAGATCATTAGCCACGTCAGGTAAACTTGCTGAGCTTGACAGCCACACGCAAACGTATATGCAGACAATGCGCCCACATGATAGATTATATATAAAGAGCACATCATAGAGTATCAATAATGTCTATCACATAATATGTACTCTTGATAGATATCCATCTGCGCAAAAAGTCCTTGGTGTTAGTATGTATTAATTCTTCACGCGCGTACACGGCTACAGAAGGTCATTCTCAGATTGTACACTATATATACTGAGCATTAATTGGAACAATAATTAATAATTGTTGGTTATTAATCCCAATTCGTACCATATATATCCTACATGAGCAGCTAGTAGATGAGCTGTATGCAGACAATTACATACGGTGGCAGCACAGGAGTGTCGATCCGAGGCACCGACAACACGGGCGCACAAAAGCACACCTTGTCTTGCATGCAGCCAGGCAATGTAAAAATGTTCACAATAGATTCAATCGTATGTGAGCCAGATCCCTGCTGATACGCCTTCTATATGGCATAGCTGCATTACCCACATAAGATTATCACCCAAGTCCCACCCGACCACACAAAGCTTACGGAAAAAAAGAGCACGCGCATTTACAGCGAGGTAAGAGCCGTCTAGCTATTTCCGCAACCTTTTACAATTTCTCTAGTATACCATTAGGAAATTCTGGACTGATCACGCATCTTACACGCATAGTCATTAATAAAATTGTAAATTGTAAATTGTAACCTTATCGTAAAACGCTCTGGTGGAATGTGAACAACACACGCTATTATGCCTCCACCGTACATAGAGCCTGGCCATAAATGCGATCATCCCTGATCCAAGTCCAAGAATGTCGTCATTCCAACGGCGTCGCCCCGCGCGTACCTACGGGTCATGTGTTGAAGCGTTTGCCGCCTCGCGGTCGATAACGTAAGCGCTTTGAATATTTCTTTCTTTAAAATTTAAGCGTATAATATGTATAGAGAGGTTGGCAGAAAGAAGAAAAATTAACGTCAAGTCGCCTGCATAAAATCGGCCTAAAATCGTCAGTGTATAACCCAGCTTTACTCTGACAGTGGAAAGCAAAGAGAAGTTTTAGTTAGGAGTTATACGAACATTTCATGCTCTAATGGCATACATGACCTCGCGAAAGGAAAACATACCGTTTCACTGGTTCCTAATAATGAGACACGCTTACATTAATATCTGCAGGCTCGCACGCATGTGCAGAATAAAGTCACAACAAAACTTACATATATCCTAAATCAAGGAT